TTTAGCTCAGTGGTAAAGCGAATAATTTAAGATTGCCAGATCGTGTATTATTTCCTGTGCCATGGCAATGATGATAATGGATTTGCATATGTCGTCTATTTTCAAGTCCACCACAGCCTGACCTAATTCGGCTGCAAAGTTGGTACCACGTGAAAGTCTCAGACACACAGGACCAAGCACAATGTGCAGACACAATGTTCAGGCTGTCTGGAGTGTTGGGAAGTAAAGAAACGAAAAGTTTAGACAGACTGGATAGCCTTTCATAGATCATCTGCGAATCTCAGAAACCAGAAATAACTTTAAAACATAAAAATCAGCTTATTTAATTATTTAGATGATTAAAAACGCACGTTTTTTCTAACATCTTCAATGAAACGAGCTTTTGAATGTTCTATATACCCAAACTTGTACTCAGGGGCGGATTTGGGGGGGGGGGGGCGGGGGGTGGAAGGCAAACGTCCCCTCCCCCCCACCCCCCCCCCCCTCAGGGATTCGACACCCTGCCGACCCAAAGGGTCCCCCCTTTGGTACTTTTTAAGAAATCCACTTTTGGCCGACCGACCCTAAAATTTTTCTAAAGGCGCCTTCGGCGCCAATATTTACTAATTTTGAGGGGGGAACACGCGCCGAAAAAACGCAATTTTTTGGTCAAAATTTTCCAAAAAGTGCCTAAAAACGCCTTTTTGACTTTTTTCAAAATTTGACTGCGGCGCACAAAATTTTGCCTAAATATGGGCAAAACAGTGCTTTGGGAGAGCTCAAAAAATCAATTTGGTCGACCTAAAAAAAAAAGATCGTCAAAATTTTCGATTTCTTTTTGAAAATTCGCCCCCCCCCCCCCTCGAGAAAATCCTAGATCCACCCCTGCTTGTAGCCTCAAAAAATTTGTAAGCCTAATTTTGCTCCTGATTTGCACCAGCCACCGTTTTGCACTTTTAAAGCATTCAAATGATAATCAAATTAATTAATAACATGTTATTCGGCCTTTGATAAAAAGAATGTGTTGTTAGAATACCAGCTTTGTAAAAACCTAAGATTACAATATTTCATCATAAAATACATACTTCATAAATACAGATAAAAATTCATTCAATGACTCAAACTTAGTTTCCTGTTTATAAAACTGCAGAAAATCAGAACTTGTTCGAGAGCATTTTTAGCTAGACATACTGGAAAGTGAAATTACTATTCATTACTCATTTTTTCGACAACAATTTTTTTGAAAAACAGTAAATCTAGCAATAAACAATGCCTCAATAGTTTCCGTAATTCCGTAGATTTGTTTATTATTACTACAGATTTTTCTGAAAATCATTTTGAAAAAAGTAAGAAGACCTAAACAGAATCTATTAAAAACGAATGTTATTAAACCAGGCCTTCAAATTTAAAAAAAAATTGTGTAGCGGCAATGCTGAAAAAAAGTTTGAATCTAGCATATAAACAAAAGTCTAGCAAAGCTCTGAACAGAGCATCTAGGATATATCGCTTTTGAGCAAGTTAGCGATCCAACCACATTATGTTTTTTGTGCTTGATAATTTTTGAACCAATTTGATTTTGGGGCTTCGCATCTGTCAGACTTGATTATTGCATAAAATATTTGGCTACAATAACAGCGGTAATATTTTTTGCGACTTTTCTAACAACAATTCAGCCCTCATTTGAGACTATAACGTTTTAGTATTACCGTCATTCTCTAATTAAAGGTTAACAGTAATACTTCTTTGCGGAACTTTTTTTCTTTAAAAACCTGGTTTTAAGGACAAGATTAAAGAAACTTAACTGTGGTTTTAACTTCAAAAATGAATAAACCACATGGTAATTTCCCAAAAAAGATTAAATAGTAACATTGGTCTGTTCAAATTTTTGGCAAACTTAGGCAAATATCAAGGTTTCGCTCTGATACGGCCAGGCTTTTTTAATCCCATATCGTTTAATTAACATGCAAAACAAGTAGTAAAAAATTGAAAATCTAATTGCAAGAGGTAAGTAAAGATTATTCAATCATCTTTAAGAAGAGACACGATGTGAAATTTTGACAACTTATCACATCCGGTGAAACTTTGGACGTAACAAATGGCTTTTAATTTGATTCACTTATTTTTCCATGTTATGTTGGGAAAAAATATTTTTTTTCAAAAAATTACGTAAGGCTTCGAGATAATGCGCATGATTTCAAAAAAAAATGTTAAAACATGTTGTTTTGGTCTCTAAATATTTGTTTGTAGAAAAATCTACCCAGATGAAAACAGTATGCTTGAGTTGAACGAAATGTCAGAAAGTTTGGCTATAATGGAACTCAAATTTGTTAAATGATGAAAACTTATTCTTCAGGGCGTAACGTATACAGCTCCAATTTTTGAGATCAAGATCTTTGAAAAATAGGAATAACAATTTCTCTAGTAATAAGTAAATCTAATGAAATTTTGTGTATTTGTTTTATCTGATGTTTTTTACGTGAAATATTTTTTGTTTTTTTAATGACTTTAGGATTTATTAAATAATACTCTAGGTTTTTTCGAAAATCTATTTTTAAAAAACTAAAAGAAACAAACACAAGTTATTAGATAACCAATAAGGCCTTTAAGCAAATTGTGGAACGCCAATTCTGCAAAAAAGTTCACTTTCTAGCATATAAGCAAAAGTCTAGCGGAAATTTTATCAAAAAATGTTTCTCATTGGTTGATAATTTTTGAATCCAGCCTGATTTTGGGGCTTCACATCTGTCAAATTCAATTGCTATTTGGACATTTGATTACTGTAACAGCAGTAAAAAATTTTGGATTTTTTTTCTACATCATTTGAGCCCCTATTTTAGACTACAGCTATTCAGTATTACTGTCACTTTGTAATAGTCTGTTATCGGTGACTTTTTAATTGAAATTTTCTGTAAAAAAACTTTGGTGAAGGGATAAAACTATTGAAGTTTTAAAGTGGTTTGTTCGAATGTAATTGCATTCGACTTCTTTTTTCAAAGTTGACAATATAGTTTGTGGTACTCTACTTGAACTTAAGCGCAGACAGTATAATCTCCCTTACTTAGGCAATGATATGAATTTTGGTATTATCCCAAGTATTATGAATGGATATTTATAAGTTTCTGGCTTGAAAATAAAGTTATTGTTATAACTACTTTACAAAGTACCTACGTGGTATCATTTTCTCAAGGCTGGCAAAATTTCAGTAGCATTTTTTTGCCACTTAATGCAAATTTGTAACCACTTAGGAATTATTGGGTCAAGTTTGCTCCATAAAACTCTCTTGTACCTTAGTCGATGTCAGCGACTATCTTCTTAAATACGGCGGAAGTTTGTAGTCGGGGCAGGGTCAAAATTGACAAACTCTGGAAAAACCTCATTGCTGTCACAACAGACTGGAATGCGATAGTCTGGAAGTCACAAAATTCTGAAACCTAGATCTCGAACTAAAACTGAGAAGCGGTATCTTAGACTAAAAAGCTGGTTTTTGATGAATAGATACATCAAAATAAAACTGTTAATATAAACACAGAGGCGAAGCTGAGCTTCGCAATAACAAGCGAGAAAAAAGCAAAAAGCTCTAAGCAGGCAAAATAGAGTTAAATAAGGAAAAATTGAAAATATATCTTGATTTTTTTTGTTGAAAATAGGAGTATCACAACCTCACATGTCCTCAACGACCGCTTCTTATTTTACTAACACTAGTCACCAATAAAGCAGCTACAATTTCCATCAACTTGCCAATGCTGAGCAGCGAAAATTCGACCAAAAAAATTAAAATTATTTAAATTTTCCCGAAATGAATATCCGACGTGTTGATTAGGAGTCTCAGGTCCTCGCATCTGCGCCGTTGTTGCTTGGACGGGCTAATGCTGAATCTACCTCTCATATTTTTATCCATATATTGTACTGATACGGAAATGCGCAACTTTCAAAATTTTAGAAAAAGGGTTTTACACTAAACCCTGGTGTTTCTCTGCCGTAGTAGGGGATCAACCGCTTATTTAAAGGAAAAATTACTACTTGCTCTTTCAATTAAAGTCTTTATCTCAGATTTGGCGGGGAAGTTTTCGAAAAAAAAGAGGAAAAAATTCTAAAATTGATAAAAGTTTCAAATATTTTATTTTCTCTATCAAAGAATGGGAATAGCCTCTGTTTTTCGCACTCTGAATTTTATATGAAAAATTTTCGCAAACCAATTTTTTCAGATTGAACCCTTAATATCACTATTTTTTTGAGAATAATGGCGAAAAGCCTAACAAATAATGGTAAAAATTAAAAAAGAATTTTTCCGAAGCCCATATAAGTTTTTCTACAAAAAAAAAGTTACGCAGGGAAAATCAAAGCGTCATGGTAATTTTATAGAACTATCCAACTCAAAAGCAGCAGCTTAGTTTTTGAAAACAAAGAATAACTAACTATCTCAGAAGCGGTAAAATTGAAAATTGAAACTGGACATTTTTAAGGCCATATTGTTTTCAAAACGCAGGGCATAGCCGCTTGCGCAGTTAAGATTCGCATAACTGTTTTTTTTTTTCGGTTAAGCCGTTAAATTGCGATTTAGCAAGGTAATTTGTGCGAAAAACCAAAAAGTTTAACAATCAACCAAAATGTCAAATAATGGGCTTGTTGGACACCATAATTTTTTTCTAACAAATTTGGGGATGGGGGGAGAAGGAAAGGGATAACCCAGTAATTTCGATCAATCCATTATGGCCCATTGTCGGAGCGCTCACCTTGCAATTAGCAGCATAGGTACGATTTGAACCCGCAACTATATCACTACTGGGCACCATCACTAATGGATGGGCACCAGCCTCGTTTGAACAAATTTTTGTCATGAGATTATTTGACAATTAAGACGCTAAAAGAGCTTTCTCGATCTAGGTGTTTCATAAAAACTGCTCAAACTTCAAAGAAAACGAATAAGCATCTTCAGCTATTTGAAATGCTAATACCAATTGAAAGAGCTCTTAAATTGAACAAGCACATTCTTTTGTGGTTAATCGTTGTTCATGAGTGCCTCTAATTGCTAATTCAGAAACTATATTGACTAAAATTCATAACGTGTATTTTGTGACAATTATTAAGGACCATACCCAAGACCCCTTTTGATTACTTCATCATGGGAACATCTTTTTCGAGCTCAAAGAACTTAGAGGGCAAGACAGCCCTAATAACAGGTAAGTGTTTGATGAACTTTCCACTACACTTGATTGATTGAGCTTGATATGAAAGCGCTGCTTATTAATTTTACAACACTGCCGTTCACAATGACTAAATTTGTTCAAAGTGGAACCAGAATCGATTGCCTGTGAATAACAAATAATAACCAATAACCAATCATTTCTTGAATTGGCATTTTAAATTGGCACTTCTAGAAAGTGTCCGTAATATTTTAGAAAATGACATCCAATTGGCAATTCTAGAAAATGTCCGCAATGTTTCTAGAAAATGTCCGCAAAATGCGTTAAGCTAATTTTTTATTATTAAAAAATTTATTAGCACTACAAAACAAGATTAACAGGTTGATGAGCCAGTAAAACAGAACATTACAAAAAAATTTTGCAAAAAAAAAAAAACGAAAACTTTGCAGGTTACTAAAAAAATTTTGAGAAATAGTATTTTAGAAAATTTCCAAAACAATGAAAAAAATTAGAAATTTTGTGTCCTGTAACTTTAACACAAAATTTTTTTGCCTTTTGCGAGAAAAAGTTGTATTATGAACCTGAACACTTTTTGATTACCCGCTTGTTTATTTTTGAAAAGTTCTACCAGCATGTTTATTTTTAAGTTTTTTTAATTAATTTTTTAAAAGTTTTTTTGCAGCAGAACATGTTGACTTCATATAACCTCTAGATTACTCAAACATCTAGGAAGGAATACGGTTAGAAAAAAATCAACTAAAAAAGTGAACTTTGATGAAACTTTTTGATCAACCTTGAACTTTCCGAATACCATTTTCCTTTGTAAGCTTTCGGCAACAAAAACATCAAAAAAAAATTCAAGAACTTAGAAATGATTGTAGTTTTGCTTACGCTCGCCCTATAACACACATAAAGATTCGTAGGTGTAGATTTTGTTTTTCTAAAAAATGGAAAAAAAGTGACAAACTTTTGACTACTTTGTAACTACAAAAAAAACCTGTTACTACCTATTCATTGCATACCCAAACAATTTAAATGTACAACAATTTAACTCCTAATTTTTAACTTACAACCAAAATTAACGCTGTATAAACTCCTTAATCTAATTCTTACCACACTAAGGTTATTCTTGTTATTAACGCAGGCATCAGACTATGAAACTTTGTTTAAGGCAGTTATATATGCTAAAATGAGTCTTCCTAAATCACTTAAAACTCCTATAGACAAATTTCCAATCAGATGTTTCATTAATTGAAACTGAATTTCAAAACCCTGCCTGTAATAAATCATAACAACTTGACGTAATATTTCTTTTTTGCTGTACTTAAGTGATAAACAAACGCAAGTTCCATGAACATATTATGATTGAGTCTTCATTTGAATTCGTATTTTCATCTAAAAAAGAAAACAATTTTTATAGCATTGGGCCAAAAGAAACAAATTAGCAGACACTGGGTTTGCTCGAAAAAGCAAACTCATAAAAACCGAGCTTCTGCGATCACAGAACATTACGAATTGATCGAGACGAGTGAAAAACATAATCAAAAAAATTCAGCGGGAAAATCAGATGGCCAAAACTTCAAGCATTTAAAAGAACTCAGCAAAAAATTACATCTATCATCGCAGTTGCCGATGCGATTTTGCCGGTGACAAGTAATTTGACCAGTCAGTTTGGTTTCCCAAATAAAAACAAACTGTTTGAGGGCTTCTTGCTTACATAAGCAGCTCTAAACAAACTAGTCACTCATCGGCGCTGCGCGAAACTTCGAGGTTAAAATAATTTTTGGAAAATCTTTCCGGTATGACGTTAGATCAAATGATCCCGACCAAATCATGTTTTGGGACGATCTCAAAAAAGAAAAACGTCGTTCTGGGTAGCTGACGGAACCTTTACTATTATTCACAACATCTTCTTTCAGCCAAAATCAATGCAAATACGCTATGCTTCTGAAAAGAAAAACTAAAAAAAACGATGGCCACTTTTTGGGCTTTATTTGATTCAGCACCAAACTCCCAATCCCGATCTGAAAAAATGTAGGTTTTGAGGAGACTGCTTGTAGCAGGTTGTTATTTCCATCCATCACAGAATTACACAAAAAATTCAATGAAATGGCTCTAGGGTGGCTGAATAAACAAATCAAAACTTAACCATGGACTTACCATGACCCAAAAAATGAAAAAATGGTTCCTGTACTTCTGTTCTACCTATGCATGATGTCAAATCGTGAAGTTAAATGCACATTCTCCCTTTGGAACCAGCGAGATGCGGCCGTGAACAACAATCCAATCCTAAATCAGTGGAGCCACCACATTATGAAAACAAATGAGCAGCCTGGAAAAAGACATCTCCGTTAAAAAAAACTCAATTTTTCTATGCATCGACTAGCCATAAACCAATAAAAAGAAAAAAATACTACGTATAAATTATGCGTTTTTGTAGCCAAAACTCAAAAAAAAATTAGAACACAGCCTTCGGGTTAGAGGTTTAAATTCGAGAAAGATTCTAAAACTGAACGTTTTTTAGCTTTTTGGCATTGGATAACCCTTTTCAAAATTGTCTAACCGCTGGAAATACCTGGGTAATTACGCCATTTTTATTTATTGAACGTTTAATTGAAGGAGAATTTCACATTCATTGAAAAAATGCTTGCTTTTGGTTGGCATTTTTTTCATTAATCTAACTATTGGCAAGTTCATTCACGTTCAAAACTTACACCAAATAAGTAGCGCAAAAATGTTAGGTTTTATATGGCAAAATTTTTTCCTGCTTTATCCTCTGATGCTTACCCAAGTCTTCGTAAAATAAGTGTTCTTTTTGTTTTGGTTTAAAACGGTATTCATCTATAGAATTGGTTGTCTAAATATTTATTTATCCTACTGGTCTTCATGTTTCTGCTCCTGAAAATACTTTAAAAGTCGGCAAAAAAGCTAAAGAAAGTTAATTATTATTTGCATCAATGAATTCAAAGAGTTTTTGACTGATTTTTTTTCAGGAAACACTATTATTGATAAAAGAAAAACGGCAACCATGTGTAAACAAACATAATATGAGTGGAGCCGATCAGCTTTTAACGCTTAGTTTGACGTAGATTAGTGCGTAAGTGTTTAAAAATCAAGCTAATGGCTTTCAAAACATAATCAGCTTCTGACGTTTTCATTATGGTTACTTTGACACTAGCGTCATTCATTGCAAACTATAACAAACCTTCTCGTAGCAGGGCAAGGCTCTGATTGTTCCTGCTAGTTACTATTTTATAAGATCAAGTAATGTTCACTTAAGAAAAATGGATGAATTTTTCAAACAATAATAAAAAACATTATCGAAAAAAATTTTTCAGGTTGTTTTTGTAAAAATTATCCCCTATTTTGATCAAAGAATGATATATTTTTCACATAGCAAAGTGTTAAATAGACAAATAGCATGCCTCAATTCAATTTGGAATGATTTATCAGCCAGATTAATTCTCCGCTTACGCGCTAATAACAAGAAATTAATCGCACGGTAATTGTTCCAAATTTATCAAACTTGCAATGGTTAAACCCCCATAGTTTTCTTAGAAGTGATCAAAGGTAAAATTTTATCATTTTAACTCTGGAAAACAAAAGTTTTTCAATGATATATAAAATCTCATCAAAAACTGCCAATGAAAACGTCATATTTTGTCTGGAGAAAAAACCACCCTTAGCACAAACAATCCGCGTTTCCTTCGAAAGACAGAACAAAAAACAGAGCTTTTTTGCCGAGAAAGTTTGAGAATGGTAACTTCAGTGTCAGGAGCCGCACTAAAACTGTAATGCCCTTCAATTTTTCGACAAAACGTAATTAGTATGATTTTTTTTAAATTAAGAGCTTTGAAAATTCCCACTTCTTTTCAAAATGTATAGTGTAGCAAGCCTTACTGTTTTGATTGTATAAATTTTTTAGATGGCTGTGATAGTGAATATTTAGTTCAGGCCATTTTAGTTCTGTTCACCCGCTGTCAACATTCTGGTGCTAACTGGTTCTTAACCTTCGGAGTTGTCTGTCACCTTTGAATGACCTCTATTTCGTTGTCTCCGACTAACTTTGTGACATACAGTTCTATACCGTTCTTCATTCTATGCTCTGAAATTAACAGAACGACTTACTATCTGCTTCTCTTAACATGTCGCAGCCAACAGGCCAAAGTGGGGGGAGGGGGGAGGGGGAGGGGGGAGGGGGGAGGGGGGGTAGGGGTTCCCACTTGGAATCACGTCGTTTTGGCTTTCAAACTAGCAGAACCGCCCATGCTGTGAGAAATTGGGGTTAACCGATTTCAAGGTGGAATGGTGACCCAACATGGGATTATTCCGAAAACTTTCTACTATGATAACACACTTACTGTATCATTAATCACTGCGCTACCGGCGGATGTTGACGGAAAGAACAGATTAGACTCGTTTTTCAATCTATCTCATCTCGTTGTTCATTCTATACTCTGAAAATCACAGCACGACTCTACTATCTCTTAAAATGGTACAAAAAAAACTTGGAAAAAAATCATTGTTTTTGCAAAAACGGTCTCCCCCAAACATATATCAGGTAAGAATGGTTGTTTTTTTTCAGTTTATGGACAATTAAAAACATCAAGTAAGCAAGTTGGAGTCGCATGAACATAATAAGACAAAATAGCTTGCCTCAATGCAACTTGAAAAGGTTTTGTAGCCTGTGATAATTTGCCTCGCTTGAATAAATTGCGTGACGCTATCAGCGTCATAAATAAAACATTCGAAGTTCGGTTTAAATGATCCAAAGCGTTGCAAGCAATTCAAATAAAATTTTTGTTTTATTCTATTATATTCCCGATAGTTTTTTTTGTAAAATACTCAAAACTGAACAATCGTGATCCATAACTAACATTTACAAAAAATGTTAAGGCTGAAACTTTTTATAGTTTCAGCCAGAACAGAATAAATTAAACTTAGCAAACAGTTGCTCCTCCTCCGAGCAGTTCTTGATATTTAGCTTCGCAATTACCAGTATACAGTAGATCTATTGCGACAAGGAGTTATCAGAG